GTTCCCGCCTCCCCCACGGAAATAAAGACACAGGACACCAGTATTTTAGGTTAATGGGCAAAATTAGGCCACAACTTTATTGATTACAGGAATTGAGTGGTATTGGCTTAGGCATTGGTCCTATCGACTAACCGGCTTCAGCCTGATTGCTAGAAGACCGGCAAGGGTTAACCACCAGTAGGGGGAGTCCTGCTGATGTACATCAACTAGGAGCTCCCCCGGAGTCACCGCTCGGGGGCATGCCTTAGGCCCACACCTCCATAGGCTTCGGACAGGGCAACGCCCCACGGAATCCTTTACCGGACTACCCTTCGATATGGGGGAAGGTGATGGCGCTTCCTCCCCCCACTCATCTGCATAACAATACCCTTACCAATGCCTAACCGCCAATGCCGAGGAAGTTGTGACGATTTGCTACGAGGTAGGCAAAAAGCCAAAAGGCTGGTGCCAATTTGCCAAGTGGAAAAAATTCCTACCAGGCCCCTTGACGGACCAACCGAAGTCCATAGCAATGTCAAAGAGCCAAACCTAAAGGGGGGGGGGGGGGGGAAAACCGGAGCAGCTGGGGCGCTGGGAGAAAGAGGGAAATCCTCAGGCGCGCCGGCCCTAAATAGCGCGGGCCACGCCTCCCAGGCCAGCCGATTGTCTGGCAAGGGAGATGACACGCCCGAGGATTCCCTGCTCTCGCGGGGCTGCAAGCCAGCCCCGAGTACGTGGGGGAGGGCATGAAGCCCACAACCCCACCTCCTCTCCAGCTCAGAAGTGGCTTTACTGAAGGGAAGCATTGCAACCATGCAGGGCTGTCAAGGCCTTCAGGCTGCTGCTTCTAGGCCCATCCTGCAAGGTGCCCAAGGGACGATCAGGCATCCCAGCACATACTCAATTTGGAGAACAGAGCTGGGCCATAGTGAGTAAAGTGGCTGAGAAAAGAAGAAAAAAAGCAAACATTAGGAAAAGAGGGTTTAGGTTTAGGATGCTAAATGTTTTGGAATGTTTGGAATAAAAATGTTATAGGAAAAATGGTGATCAGTCCCTTCTCTGGGTTTCTTCTCAGCCATCGGCAGTGATTCATGCATGCTCCTATGGCCAACTGGTGGCGATTTCCTGCCTTTGTGCATTGGATCCGGACCCGGAGAGCAGGCAGCGGGCAGCAGAGGCTCTCTGCCATCTTCTGCCCATCCTGCGGCACAACAAAGGTAAGACTGGAAGAATGCATCCCAGCATGGGGTGGGGTGAGCAAGACCCAAACTAACCCTTTGGCTTTCCTTTGCAGAGACACTGGCAGGAACGTTAAGGAACCAAATGCACATCATCGGAGCTGAGCAGGTCCTCGAATCCACCGGAGGACCGGTTCCTGGGCTGTTCGGAAAACTGTCACTCTCTTGTCAGGGTAAAGTCGCTGTCCTCAAGCCACAGTTTCTGGGTCCGCAGAGGCAGCACTGGCTTCTGCTCCCCAGCCCTGCCCTGTGGGCATCTCTGACCTTCTCTCGTCCGCTTCAAGGTCTTTGGCGCCTTTCCTGCGGCGCAGCTCTTTGGAGCAATGTGCTTCCTGGCCAGAGACCTGGTTCTAGAAGAGCAGCTTCGACCCCTTTGGACATCTCCCAACCTGCTGCAAGATTCATCAAGAGGTTGGCGGCACAAAAGAAGGTAAGGCGTCTTCAAAGGTAGGAGAGAAGAAGATTCTCCCACATGGTGTAGGGGAGGCCACCTCATGCCATTGGGTGGCCAGGACACATTTAGTTGAGAGGGCCTGGCACGTCAAGGAACAAGAAGGCTCAGCCAAGGGTCCTGAGAAACATGGGTTCAAAGGGATGGGGAACCCATCCTCCTTCTGGGAGCAGACTGGCAAGCTTCTTCTCTTGGCCCACAATGGAGAGGGGAACTGGCGCCCTGGAGCTGCCTGGGTCCAATACTCCCAGGACCCTGAGTGGTACCTTGGAAGGAAGAGGCTGTGGTGGCACAGGTCAAGGGTCCCTCTTTCAATGAGGGATGGAGACAGCCCGCTTCCTTGTACTTCTCCAAGCAAACCCTCTCCTTTTCTCTGACAGGTGGAGGTGCTGCTGGAGGCCTTCTATAAGATCGCCCAGGGCCTACAGTGCAAGGCAGGAACATGGCCGTCTCGCTTTCTCCATCTTGGCGCACCAACCACTGGAGAAAGTGGTGCAGTATCTTCCCTCAGTTTCCCTTCGGGTATGGAGCCCTCCAGGTTCATACTGGCTAAGGGGGAGGTTGGCAAGCTGCAGGGCTTGCTCAGAAAGCCCTTGCTGCCATTTCCTCTCTCTGGAGCATGGCAGCAAGCAGAAGACTTGAATCTGACCATTGCTCTTGTTTTTGCATTCACAGAGACTGCGAGATAGTATGGAAGGAGGTTTTACCATCGGCCGATCCAGAAAAGCTGATCCATCTCATGGCCGAGCAGCTTTACCAAAGCCCCTTGGCGGAATCTGCCACCCAAGTGGTAAGGACCAACCACCTGCTTCCTGGCTTCCTTCTTCCCAGGGTAATATCGAGGGGTTCCTGTATTCTGCAGAAAAGCAGAGAAAAGTGACTTGCACCCCTCTCTCTTCCAGCAACATCTCAGCAGCCTGTTGCACGCCATCCTCAGGATGGAGGACTACAAGGCAGCTGTGCGCCAGAAACTTCCCACAGCTGCTGAATCGCTCTCCTGGGGATGGTTGTCAACTTCCACTACTATCAGGAATTCCTCGGGTGAGTAGTGTGTTGCAAAGGGACCAATGGAGTCCTTTCCCCTTCAGCCTCGGGGGGTTTCCAGTCCAGCTTGCTTTTCCAAGGGAGGCTCTCCTTCAGGCGGCTGCTGGGGAAGGAATGTGAGTGTGTGCCAATGACCCTCCTGGTAAAACTGGCCTTGCTTTGGTTCCAGAGGGGCTAAGGAAGTTCTGCACCTCCTTCTCTGGCACCACTGGAGAAAAAGTAGAGGCGGCCATCGTCAACCAACTTTTCTGCCGGGAGACTTTCAGCCAGGGGTTGTCTGCCATGGTGAGGTAGAGGAAGAACGCGGTTGACCTTCCCCAGTGGTCTGGCAACGGAGCTGAAGGCACAGGATCGGACCTGCTGCCCGTTTGCTTCCTGCGGTGTCTTTCCCTTCCTTACCAAGATCTCCTTCTCCATTTCAGAGCTGTCGGAAAGCGAAGCTGGTGGATCCCTCCCATGGTGGAAAGGCATCATCGCTGCTCTCGAGGACCAGGATTTTTGCCGGGATGCCACAAAGTCGCGGGCAGCTATCTACCATCGAGTGAGGGGGACTGACGCGGGAGGCAAATGGGTGCAGCAAGAGGAGGGCCCTGGCTTGGTTTCTGCCGAGTGTTGGGCTACTTTGAGCCTAAGGACTGTTGCCTGTTTTAGTGCTCCTCAGAGTAGACCCATTGGGATTTGATGTACATGGCAAACTTTGGTCCATTCACTTCAGTGGGTTTGCTCTGTGCAGAATTGCAAATGGTGGGCAAAAGGAGAACCTGCCCTCAGCCTCTTATCCTCTGAAGGGTTTCTTTCTCTTGGGCCTCTTTAGCTGCTCAGCTGCCGTCTGGAGGTCTATCCCTGTGAAGATACACTGGAGCAGCTCCTCAACTGGCTGGAATACGACTGCCTGGAAGTCCGGAAGCTCAGCGTCAGAGGGATATCCCTGCTTCTGACTCTGGCATGGCAAGTGATGCTCAGAGGAAGGGGGGTACAGATCTCGATTCTAATCATGGCCCAGCACTCTTTTGCTGGCACAATACTGAAGGGCCTGTGCTAAAAGGCATGAGGCCTTTCAGACCTTGAAAAGATTCTTTCTTTTGTGTAGGACCCTGCGCTTTCTGCGGCTCTTCCTGAGGGATTCCCTCTCTTATGTAGAAGCTGATGTCCTCCCAGAGTTGATAGAGCTGGTAGACCAAGCCTACCATTCCAGGGAGCTGGGAGAGGAAACCTGAGATGCTGGCGGCAACCTACTGCGGCCTGGCTGCCCATGTGAGTATGAGGGGGAAACATGACACCACACCCAATGGAGGAGGAATGCTTTGGAAGAGGAAGGGTGGGGTTTAGACTGGCATGCAGCGGAGATGTTCTGGCTTTCAGGAGGGTGTTCCTCTGGAAAGTGATCTGATGAGAAACACAACCTCTGATATTTTCTGCCTATAGGAGGAAGCCTCCGTCCGGGAATCAGCCATCGAACATCTGGGGCTGCTTCGGGGCTGGGCGAGAGACCAAAGACTTCCCATTACAACAACAGAAAAGGAAGCCATTCACGAACTGGTTGTGGTCCTCATTCACCTCGAAGACGAGGACCTTGAAGTGGCCAAGGTGAGGGCCAAAGAGGTGGACTTATGCAGTAGGAGGGAGGGATTGTTCTCAGGAGCTTCCGAGACTATGTCCCGCAATTTGTAACCCTCTTCTCTTCTTGTGTTGCAGCCGCAAGGAGGGCTCTTTCCCATCTAGCCCCAGAAGTCAAGTGGTGGGCTCATTCCAACAAATTTAGCCTCCACTTTGCTCTCCACCAGGCTGCCAAGCATATGGTAAGGTCCCTCTGCCTTTGTTGGCAGCTTTGCCCAAGGCATGTCTTTGGGACGTGCAAGGCTCTTCTGCTGCGCTCTCAAGCCTCTCTGATGCCACTTCTCCTTTGTCTTTGCCCACAGAGCAAGACCTTCAGCAAGGGCATCCTTCGGAGTGCTGCCTATCATGTACGCAGCCGTCTGCCAACAGGCTGCCAGCAGTCTCCAGGGTGGCAGCTCTGCTTCTGGGTAAGTCAAGCAACGTTCTTCCCTGGTAGGGAGGACAGAAACGTCTTGGTAACAATGGCAAGGGAGGATGGACATGTCCCCAGGCCACCTGCTAGGTAGGCCTCCATCTGTGCCCAGATCTTGCTCTGAGTGCTCCGTGAGGGTGGAGGCCTCTAGAGCATACCTGTCCTCCTGCCGAGCTGCCTCTGTCTCCGCTTGCTTTGCACCAGATGACGTCCCTTTTCTTGCCCTCTCTCTCTCTCTAGGTCATCTGGCTTTCCGGGATGCCAGTTTCATCCGCAATCAAGACATGGCATCCTATGGAACATGTGAGTGAGACGTACGGAGGGCAGGGAGGGATGCTTCTGCTGAGAAAGGTCTTCAGGGGAAGGCAAATTCTCAGATGTATGTTCAGGCAGAGGTGCCACAAGATGAACATGCAAAGAGAATTGGAATGTGACTTCACTGCTCTCTCTTACACACAAACACAGCTGACGGCTGTTTTCATATTGTTGATGGGTGGCTCTTTTCCTGTGTATCTCCCCCTTGCTCAACCTTTCTCCCTTGCCACTCAGGGCTGGAAGAGATGCAGCAGCACGAGGAAGAAGAGCTTAGGCAGACAGGGAGGAGCTGCCCTGAACATCATGCAGCGGGCCTATAGACATCGGAAGAAAGGCAGGGTCCAGCGCTTTTTGAGGAGGATGCTCCACTGCGTTCACAGGGAACCTTACCCGAAGGACTTCCTGAGCTGCATGCCAGGTGAGTGAGGCATCTGGTGGGCTATTGGGACATCTGGTGGGCTGTTTGGATGGGACGTTTTCTCAACGAGCCCCTTTTCTCCGCCTGACAGAACATCCGGAGTAGCGCCAAGGCAACGTGGACACCAGAGTTGTGCTGCAGAGATACCATCTTCTGCTCTCCGCAGGATCCAGTCTGGACCAGCGCCAGGAACATCAACACCATCAGGATCGACCAAGAGGAGTGGTGCTGCCCTCACGACCCTCCGTACACAGCGGTAGGAACCTTTTTGTTGTTGTGTTTCTTGTTGATGTTGTTTTTGATTGTTGATTTTATTGATTTTGAATCTCAGGGTGGTTCACAACACCAAGTATATGAAGCACAAAATAAATAATAAGAATAATCACTGCACAAAATTCATAATAAAAATATCAGAACATAATATAAATTAAATAAAAACATACTAAAAATAGCCACAAGACCAATGTATGCACACTAATAAACAATACAAGAGCCCTGAAACAACACTCCAGCCCACAAATACAAAATCTAAATCAACGTAACACATTTAACAACCATTTAAAACAACCCCACCTTCTTGAAGAAGGCTGATATATTAGATTTAGAAGGTTGGAATACGAGGTTTGGATGGCACGCCTACCTAACATACAACAAAGTGGCAGTGCATAAGGACTTTTAAAATCATATACAGTGGTACCTCGCAAGACAAATGCCTCGCAAGACAAAAAACTCGCTAGACGAAAGGTTTTTCCGTTTTCGAGTTGCCTCGCAAGACGATTTTCCCTATGGGCTTGCTTCGCAAGACGAAAACGTCTCGCGACTTTGTTTCCTTTGTCTAAAAACCGTTAAAACAAAGGGTGCTTAGCTTGAACAGCTGCAGTTGCGACTTGACTTCGAGGAGCAACTGTTAGCACGTGGTTTGGTAGCCTTTTCTCAGACTTTGCTCACTTTTGAAGCTTTTCCAAAACTTACCATTTGGTAAGTTAAACTTTTAAAACTTTTTTGGGGGGTTTTGGATTTTGGGTTGGGGTGTTTGGGATTCAAGGACTTGGTGTTGTGGGGGGGTTTGCGATAATCTGGGAGCTTGTGGGGCTTTTTTTGGAATTTTTATGATTTTCTGTGACCATTGGGCCAGGTTGGTTTTTTTTGAAAATTTTTCTGAGTTTGAATTTCTGAGTGCTGGCTGGCTGGGGGAACAGTTGGAGAGGTTTCTGCAGGAATCTGGGAGCTTGTGGGGCTTTTTTGGGAATTTGTATGATTTTCTGTGACCATTGGGCCATGTTGTTTTTTTTCAAAAAAAAAATTCTGAGTTTGAATTTCTGAGTGCTGGCTGGCTGGGGGAACAGTTGGGGAGGTTTCTGCAGGAATCTGGGAGCTTGTGGGGCTTTTTTTGGAATTTTTATGATTTTCTGTGACCATTGGGCCATGTTGTTTTTTTTTCAATTTTTTTTTCTGAGTTTGAATTTCTGAGTGCTGGCTGGCTGGGGGAACGGTTGGGGAGGTTTCTGCAGGAATCTGGGACCATTGGGCCATGTTGTTATTTTTTGAAATTTTTTTTTGTCTGGGTGGGGGAACAGTTGGGGAGGGGTTTGCAGCAGTTGGGGAGGGGCAGGGGGAGCAGTTGGGGAGGGGTTTGCAATTTCTGTGTGGTGGGTGGGTGGGTGTCTGTGGGAGCAGTTGAGGTTTTTGAAGACATTGGTGATTTTTGAAGCTTTTCCAAAACTTATTTTGCAGCCATTTGAGGTTTCTGAAGACTTCGGTGATTGATTGTTGAAGCTTTTCCAGAACTTCTCTTGCATCCATTTGGCAAGTTAAACTTTTAAAACTTTTTGGGGGGTTTTTGGATTTTGGATTTTGGGTTGGGGTGTTTGGGATTCAAGGCCTTGGTTCTGGGTTTTAATTTCTGTGTGGTGGGTGGCTGGGTGCTTTTGAATTTTTTGGATTTGAAGCACATCACTGATTTTTTCTTTTTCTGAGTTTACGAAGGTAAGAGCTGTGCTGCCATGGGACCCAAGAAGACTGCTGCTGCGGTGGCCGGCGAGAGGAAGAAGGAGAAGGTGACGCTGGAAATGAAGAAGGAGATCATCCGGAAGCACGACGGCGGAATGCGTGTGACGGACATCGCCAGGGAGTACGGGAGGAATCCATCAACCATCGGGACCATCCTGAAGATGAGGGAGAAGATCCTGGCGACTGATGCAGCCAAGGGAGTCACCAGGATCGTGAAGAACCGCCCAGCTGTTCTGGAGGAGGTCGAGAAGTGGTCAGGCATGGAGAGGCTGCCAGTTCTGATGTTCCTGCGGCTGAAGACTTTGCAGCGGAGTTCCTGGAGGTTGTGTCCTCCAAAGAACTGAGGGACATTTGTCAGAAGTGGAAAGATGTGCAGGCTTTTGCACAGTGGCACCACCCTGACAAGGACCTGACACGTGACCTTGCGAACACTTTTGATACGAGGGTCATGTCGTCTTTCAGGGAGGTGCTGAAAAGGCGGATGAAGCAGCAAACTATGGACAGGTTCTTGAGCAAGAAGCAAAGAGTGGAAGAGGAGCCTTCTTCGAGTGGTCCCCCAGAGTCTTAGAAAATGTACTGTACACTTTGTTGATTTTTAAATGTTTTTCTGTCATGTTTATAAAGTTAATTTATTTTCCCTTCAATTTTTGAACTGCTCTTTACAGTATGTGTGACTTTAAAGAGCAGTTAATAAACTGTTGTTGTACCAAATTTGGCTTTGTTTGGACTTTTTTTGACCATAGGAACGCATTAATTGATTTTCAATGCATTCCTATGGGATTTCGTGATTCGCAAGACGAAAAATTCGCTAGACGACAAAACTTGCGGAACGAATTAATTTCGTCTTGCGGGGCACCACTGTAGTAAGAATTTCATTATACAAGGTCTGGGATAAGTACTACAGACTATTAGAGCCCAAAATACCCTGGTGGGCATCCCCAGTGGAGATGATAACGGTAAAAAAGACAAACATGGACACAAATTGGGCAACTTACCAACAATTAATAAAGGTAGAACAGGGCCAATTAAAAATCAAATTGTATGAAGAAATTAAACAGTATTGTAACGGCTGGATTCAATATCACCAAATAGTGCATATACTTAATCAGGATAAGAAAATTGGTTTTGGAGAAAAGAAGTCATTCTTACAAAAGGAATTAGTACAAATTAATAAAAAGACCCTATCTAGGATGTATGATCTACTTTTGGAATGGGAACTCAAGGATGAGATGCTAAAGGACGTTATGATAAAGTGGGCGCAGGATTTTGGCCACAACATAATGTTAGCTGTGGAAATTTGACATCAAGTTCACAGCATGTTATACAATAAGGGAGAATCTAATGAAAATGATCTACCGGTGGTACCTAACCCCTGCCCCATGGAATCGGCAAAAATCTATAAGCAAAAAACCAATGTGTGCTGGAGATGTAACACCGAGATAGGAACAATGTACCATATATGGTGGGGTGTAAGGAGATAAAAAGCTTTTGGAACAAAGTTCATGAAGAAATCATTAAGGTTTTTAAAAAATCATTCAACAAGAAACCAGAAGCGTATGTTGCAAGCATAAAATTTTGATTCTTAAGATTTTAGGCACTTCTAGCCTTAACAATTTAAGCATTATTATCAGTATTTATGGTTATACATAAAAGGTAAAGGTAAAACTCTTCCAGGTGGCCTTGCCACATTCCCCCCTTTCAAGCTTAGAAACAAGTCACAGTTGTTTCTCCAGATTGACTCTCATGTTGAACCCCGGTATAGACAACTGTGTCTCTCAAGGGGATCTCTTCAGGGGGCATTTCATGAATTAGTCAAGCATACTCATGCTCTTCTTCTGCCGGGGGGGGGGGGGCAGGGCTCGGTATATGGCCATGATGTGGGTTTCAGTGAGATTCTTAATGCTTCGGGCCACCATTCCTCTGACTAGAGATATGCAGCAAGGGGGGATGCAAAGAAGTATTAAGAAGACTAATCCTCCTACCGCAATGGCGGTCAAAAGGCTATGTAACCATCCTACTCCTGGGACCCAAGACCACATCCATTCCCAAGGATTCTGACTGGGTTGGTTATCATTTATAAGGGCCTGTAATTTTGGCAACTCGTCCTCAATAGTGTTGTTGAGGTCATGAAACTTCACTCTGCAGTTGCCTTCCGGGACTATTTTACAAAAACCTCCTGATTTGGCAAGGAGATAGTCAAGAGCAAGTCTATTAGCTGCTGCTATCTGGTTCAAATCCTCAATCTCGGACTGCAACTGTCGGAGGATATGTGTAGTGGCATTGATGGTTTTCTCCAACCTGCATGTTAGGGCAAATAGTGCTTCACGATATTGTTCAGCCACAACTCCCAGATGTATGCCGATGGTGAGGATGCTAACGAAGCCTCCACCAACAGCACCCACAGAGCGGGCCAGGAAAATCTCATCACTGCACTGTTCCCCTTGGACTTCTCTCCTCTTTCTGTTTCTAAGAGAGGGTAGAGGAAGAAAAGCCTCCACAGTCACAGGGAAAGTAAAGGCACCCATTCCCACACACTGATAATTACCAGGGTGGTAATCAGTGGTTAGTCCATTATACAAGAACCAAAGATTGGGGTCCTTGATCAGCCAGCCAGAACAGATGGATCCCTGTCCGGTGAAGTTGACTGTATATTGGGGAAAGTATGGATACAGATCTGAGGGTGTGGTGTTGCTTTGGTAAGAGGCGTTGAAGCAACCCCACAACCAAAACTTAGCAGTGCACTGTGTGTAATTTCCCAGCCAACCTTTATGTTGGTGGTGCTGGACATGCGGCCAACCTTTGCATTTGGTGTTCCATGATCCAGAGGCATAACAACAAAAGCACAAGCCCTGGGTGGTTCTGGAGAACCGGAAATATCGGTAGGAGGTATCATTCATTTCAGAAGGAGGTGTCGCGAAAAGGCCACTTTGATTATACGGCAGGCCTGCCAAGACAATGTCAGGGTCCCTGATTAGTCCTGGGATGAGGGACATGTCAGCTACCTTTCTAGGGTGTTCATAATAAAGGGTGACATTTTCTCCATATATTTGAAACATCTGCTTAGCATTCTTGACAAAAACATTTTCTTTGGGTTCAAGGAGCACAAGGATATCAACAATTCCTCCTGGGTAGTAAAAGAAGATAAGAAGGAGAACAGTTATTATTACTGTAAGAAGAACTGGAGGTAACCAAGATGACAGCATACCTG